CATGCCTCACGTATTTTGCTGTGTGCATTTCTGCACAACTGGCTCATTCTGGAATGCCAGCAAGCCACTCACAGCCCCTCACTAGATACTCAAGAAGTACTTTCCTCACCGCTTAAAAGGCCTGAAGGGTAAGTTATGAATAATTTCTACTGCCCTGAGTTAATCTGTTATGCAGGGTTATGGAGAAACCTTTTTATAACAAACAGGGCAACTCTGTGTCCCATTGAAGCCATGCAGGCATGTGTAAAACAGAGGGAGTGACCCAAGGGATGAGCAAAATGTTGGTAACACAGACACAGGATTAATGGGCCGCCAGCTGTGCTGCTCACACTCAGGACAGCTCTGCATCTGCAGCCCTCTAAGCATCAGTTCAAAACTCACCAGAATTCAAAGGGAGTATGAGGTGCTAAAGAAAAGGCATTCCAGTCAAAAACCAGGACTGTGGTACTGTGAAGTCCATGGAATGTCACTAACTTATGTGTGCGTGTTGGCCTCATCTTGGGTTTAGCAGAGCAAGAAAAGTTACTGAGAAATGTTGTAAAGAATAATAATTGCTACAAAACCACATCTGTGCCAACAATCACTTAGAAAAAAGAGAAGAAGAAACAAATGAGCCAAGAGTGCCTATGGGGGTCAGGGCTGAGAAGGTGAAGAGGCTACAGCTTGTTTACAGCTTCTCTGAAAAGGATGCAGAAATTAATGATAATTATCTGGTAGCACTTTCAAAGGGCAAAGAAAAGCACTTCTTTGTATGCAACACAGAAATAAATGTGGAACACAGTGCTGCTCACCCAGGGCTGAGAGCCAGAGGTCTAATGGGAAATTGGAGGAATAATGATTTAGAAGTTCATCTGAATGCACAAATTACCAGGCACTTATCAGTGACCTTATACTTTCTCCTGTGCTACAAGTTTTATTTCTCTTTATTAACAATATACTTAAAAATCAAGGGCTGAAATCTTGATTTCTGAATGAAAAAGAAATACATGGCAGCTACTGGTGCTGTCATGGAGAAAACTGCCAACATGTACATGCAGCTTATTGCAGATGTGGAGAAAAGAGGTGTGAGTGTGTGTTCTGCCTGTGTGAGGTCAGAGGGGTGGGAAGGAAATGTGGCAGGAGCTGGAGCACAGCCCATCCACCTGAGCTCAGCCTGACTGCTGTGGCCACTGGAGGGGGAATGTGGCCACCTGGAACGACCTGCAGAGCTCTCATCTGAGGGGTCTGATGTGGCCAGAGCTCCAGCCAGCAGGCAGGGAGCACTGAGGGAAGGCAGAGATGCAGAGATGGAGGGTGTCCCACTGAGGGACAGGGTGCTCAGTCACACTGAGCTCTCACTGCTGGAACCCCGTGGGTAAGGGCTGCAAGGAATCCCACAGCTTGCCCCAAAATCACTCCATTCCAGCTGCACTGCAAAGCCACAGGCAATGCAGCCCTCCCAGTGTGGTTAAACAGCGGTGTTATCCTGGCTGGACAGCCAGCAGCGGGAGCTGATGATATTAAATACAGCTGTTGTGAGGCAAGCTCATTAAACTGAAAATAATTCCATGAATTCTGGTCTCCATGTGGTTTGTGTCTGCATGCACTGTGGGACAGCTGGACAAGGTCCAGGTCCAGCTTGGTCTGGGGTGTAGCTGGGGTGAAGAGCAGCTGCTGTGCACCCTGGGCAGTGGCAGAGGATGAGCTGAAGTCACAGCAGCTCATCCCTGTGGTGGTGTTCACAGGGGTCCCAGGATGAGGGGAGATATGAGAATCCTGACTCCATGTTTCAGAAGGCTTATTTATTATTTATGATATATATTATATTAAAAGAAAATGATATATTAGAACTACACTAAAAGAATAGAAGAAAGGATTTCATCAGAAGGCTTGCAAGGAAAGGAAAAGAATGGAATGATAAAATCTTGTAACTGACCAGAGAGTCCAGGACAGCTGGACTGTGATTTGCCATCAATTAAAAACAACCACATGAGACCAATCACAGATCCACCTGTTGCATTCCACAGCAGCAGATAATCATTGTTTACATTTCGTTTCTGAGGCCCCTCAGCTTCTCAGGAGAAAAGATCCTAACAAAGTGATTTTTCATAGAATGTGTCTGTGACACATCCCAGAGCAGCAGATTTACCAAGCCCAGAGCTCAGGCAGGCTCTGCAGAGCACTGGGAGGAGGAGCTGGGCAGCCTGCAAAAAGCCAGCCTCAGCTGGGGCTGGGTGAGCCTGCAGGGAGCAGCAGCAGTGCTGGGTGGTGACTGCAGGTAAGGGACATCTGTGGCGCCTGGGGGGTGCAGCCCACCTGCAGCACCAGGAAAGAAACGAGAACTCAGAAGGCATCCAACACATGGGGCACTTTCCTGGAATCAGGAGCTGTTTACAAGGATTTGGCCAAGCTAAAAGCAACCCAGAACTAATGTCATTGACCTGGGAATTCCTGGGAAGGGAAGTGAATTTTTTCAGAGAGAGCACTTGTACATCATGTTTCCTCTGTCACACAAGCTTTAAGGGGAAATGCTAATTTACACCAATTTCTGTTTCTTGAAGTGGAACAAGGGCATGTTTTGATGACTGACTCTATGATTATCTGATGTGACAACTGTGGTGTGAATGGCTGGGGGAGATCACACAATCAGCTTCTGAGGGACATCCAAAAAGTACTTAGCAAAATACACTGTTGAGTCAGATCTGTGAGTTAGCTATGGCTGAATCAAACAAGAAAGTCTCAAGCAAAAATTGCTTCTTTTTTGAGTGCACATGGTTGAGAAAGAGCACTTTAAGACCCTTCTTCTTAGATTATCTACTTTTTTGATTATTTGCTCATAGTTGAGTATTGAATTTCATCTCCTTGAATGCTAAGCATCTTGTTTATCACCACAAAAATGATAGCAAACTTCTCTGGCCACTGGCAAACTTTGTCAGAAGATGAATGTAAGATGTAGGCTCAGCAGAGCTGGTCCCTATGAACAGGGTCTGAGTCACCATGGGGGGACAAGGGGACTTTACTGTGTCACCTGCAGATTGCCCAAAATGAGTAGCAGAAATGGCAGAACAAAGAGTGCCTGCGCTGTGCCACTTGAAGAAATGACACTGGAGAGAGTGTCCTGTCCCGTGTGTGGGAGGCAGGTGGGTACCTGGGGCACAGGCTGCAGTGCCTCACCTGCAGCACTGTGTGGGACACAGAGCAAGTTCAGCCCAGAGCACAGACACTGGAATAAAATACTGCATTTTAATAAACCAGGTATCTAGCCAGCATGGCTGAGACATTGAAGGTTTTTCTTCTTGTGTTCAGATACAAACTCTGAGGAGTCCTTTCAGTAAGGGAGAATGGGCTGACTGTGTGACTCAGGGAGCTGTGTCTGTGTCCAGGCAGAGAAAGATGTCATGTACATCACATTTCGGGAACTACAGCTATTCATCTCTGCTTTAGTTAAATAGTCTTTTTTTTTTAATCCTGCATAATTAGAGCCTCAGGAAGTCTTGCATGTCCGGTTCAAAAAATAATCCCATCAGCAGTTTTAGCTTGGGTTTTCAACTTCTTTCAGGGTGTGTTCCCCAAAACCCAGCTTCTCCTAAACTGTTTTGTGAAGGAGACTGTTTGTCTGGGACAAGGCTCTACTGCCAGTTATAGATCAAGGTGTGGAAAGATTTGGGTTTTAATCATCTCTATGAAAGTTGACACATTTCCCTCTTTGAGCGACACAGCTAGCAACTTTAACAAGTGTTTTTTTGCTTGTTTGTTTGCTTTTAGGCAGGACTCAAACATTGCTAAAATCTTCTCAGGGGCAGCATGGGCAGATGGATCCAGGCCATGTGCACTGGTACCCACTGGCAGCTGCAGCAAAGATGTCAAGAAGAAAAATCAGCAAAAATCAAGTTTCAATGTCTTACATAGACAAGAATGGGTGTGGCTGCCCCCATTGTCTTCCTCAGCAGGATGGCAGCTGGTGGTGGCTCTCAGAGCCCTGGATGAATTTCTTACACCAGGTCTTGCAGCACAACATTTAGCTTTTTGCTCCAGACAAGTTACACCACAGAGATCAGCAGGGTGGAACCTGGAATCCCAGTCAGCACGGGCCCCACGGGTGGGCATGCCCCTGCCTGGGACTGAAATGGGATCCACCCAGCTCTCATTGCCCTCCTGACTCTGGGAAAATGAAGATAATCTCCAGCTCTCATTGCCCTAGCAGAGAGGGAATAAGCTGTCACTGCCATGGAGCAGCACTTCCAGACATGGCTTCAGCTGCAATGTGAATCTTTCAGCCACAGCAGACTGGTATTTGTTGTGATGGGATGAGGCTGTGGCAAAACCATCCCATTTACCTTCTCTCCCAGCTCCAGTAGAAAACAGCTCCCTGTCTCTCAGACACATCTGCCTCCTGCTCAAAGATACTTTTTTGCAGCTGTTAGAACCATGTGCTAAGGCATGGCTATTGAATAAATCCCAAAAAGCTGCTCTAGTGACTATTAACACCTATAACAGAATTCACTATGCCACTAGATTTGCTTTTATACATATTTCTTATCTTTCTGTAACTCCTTCTCCTTCTGGTAATAATTAGTAAGCACAGATCAATCCTGTGTATCACACCTAGATAATTCTTGGAAATAATTTTAAAGATACCTTACAGAGCACACTCAGAATGTCCCTTGGCTGCCAGTCAGAAGTCACCTCCTTGTCAAACACAATGTGTGCTTTCAGAACACAACTTTTGCCCATGAACTGGACTATTGCAGCAGAAATGTGAGCTGGGGGAGTCTGTGATGCTCAACATGACCTGACAATGGGCACTTGCAGCTCAGAAAGGCAGCTGGGTCCTGGGTGCATCAAGAGAAGAGAATGGGGACAGGGAATGGGACTGGAAAGATCCATAGAGCCTTTCTCCTTCCTTCACCCTTCACCTAACTCAGCAGTGAAATGGACTCGTGATGTTTCAGAAAGAGGATCCTAGATGAAAAAGAACAGAATAAAGGGAAGTGTTCTTCACTTGCAGTCTGGTCCCTGGAGGGTGGGAGTCTCTTGGGGAAAGGAGGACAGACCTGTACTTCTGGGAGAATGGGAGAAGTTGGATGGATAGTGGTGTTTGTGATGACTTTCATCAGCTGCAACGGTGAGTAAATGCTTCAATGTATAAGAAAAAATAATCAGAGTACTAAGAGGATGGCAAAAATCTTTTGAATTATAGCATTTTTTTTAAATTGACAAGTCAGTTGGGAAGTCTTTAGCTTATTGTATTAACCATAGAGCCTGAGAATTCATGAGAGTCTCCTTTGGCATCAGATACAATGAGGTGCTTTCTCAAGGGAGTGCAGCAAATGGGGCGGTATTGGGCAAGTCATCTTCCCTGCCCCAAGGCAAGAGCAGAAAACAGCTTTTTGGGACCCTTGGCAGGGACCCACTGTGGTGTCCAGCTCTCAAAACAGTCTTGGTGAAGCTGGAATATGCATTCTAAATTTAATAACTCATCCTCATTGTTCTGTTAGCATGGCCCTGGGAAGAAGAAGAGCTGTGAGAGCAGGTGCTGGCACATTTGATTCCCCTTGGTCTTTCCTACCTAGTGACTCCCTGGTTGCATCAGGAAAGCTGGGACTGGGACCTTGGCTTCATTTCCTATTCCCCTGACTGAATATACCCTTTCTCAGGGCATGTTTGACACTGGCAGCAGCAGAGGATAGTTTTGGGAAACAGGAGAAAAGTGTTCTTACACACTGTATACAAAAGCATAGGATTGCTCCTGACATTTAAAAAATTGGGTTGAAATGTATTACCCATTCTTTCATAAAAAACCCAGCTTTGCAAATTACTGGGATCTGCCTCTCAACCAACTTCTTGTGAGCTAAAGCTGCTGGATATAACCAATGGCTTTCTGGGGAGGGGAAAGGGGAGAAGAATAAGAGGTACTGGGAGAGATGAGCCAAGTCAAAGGAAATTCAGGTGATTTGTTACTTACAAGAGGCACGTCCCAGAGGAGATGTGGGATCCATGGGCAGGCAGCCTGAGAAATTGGGAGAATGTGTGGAGAAAATCTGCCCACTCTTCTCCTGTGCCTACCTGAACACTTGGCAGGTGCTGATCTGGGTCAGGTCTGAAATTTTCCAAGGCTAAAGCAAAAGGATAGATTTTGGTCCACCATTCCTATTCCAGATTCAGTACTGCAGGGAATACCCCTAAATGTTCCTGCCCACAAGGAGACTGTCTGTACCGAGAAAGAATTAAGAATTGGCAAGTGCCCAGAGAGAAACTCAATAAAAATAGCCATGAGGTCAAGGCAGATGTTCACTTCCCCACGTCTGATGACGTGGGCTGGCTTGGTGCTGTGGTGTGCAGCACATCTGAGATCTGGCCAGGTGCTGGCACCGGTGAGTCCTGTCTCTCTGGAGGACGTTTCCCTCCTCTGCTGCATTCTCATTTCTTCCCTTCCACTGCTGTTCCTTGCAGCCTTCCTGGATCTGTCTACTGTCCACCAGGTCACGGGCACTTGGATGGCATCCACCACTCTCCCATGTACCTATGTGCCTACAGAAGATTTCACCCAGCAAACGCTCAGCTGGAGCGTGGATCAGGGCTCCGGCACCTCCACCATCTTCCACAGGGACGGCACTGGTGACCACATCCTGCTCTCCAAATTCCGAGGCCGAGTCAGCGTCCCAAAGCACAACCCAGGGGATGCCTCGCTTCTCATTCAGAACCTTGAAATGCCTGACAGTGGACACTACACTTGTCAAATCGTCTGGAGGTCCAGAGATAACAGCTTGATAACAAAAGAGGTGACCACTATAGTTAAAGTTGTCAAAGGTAAATCCAGCAGTAAAGTCCTGCTCTTGTGCAGCCAGGTTAAACCAAAAGAAGGTGGGGGGACCAGTGTTGGTGTTTATAGTCATTCACACCACACTAGGTTGGGGTTGAAGCACCTACCTCCCTTGCTGTGCTGGTTATCCTTCCCAACACACGGAGGTGTAGGAATGAACTGGGGAAGGGAGCCAGTTAGTGTACAGCCCAAGCTGGATCTGTTGATGGGCCAGTTGAACCCATGATGTTTGAGATAATATCCAGGTCCGGTTCTGGGCAGGCAGCCAATATCTCTATGGTTCTTGTAGCAGGTGGGTGTTGTGTGAGCCAAGTCTGCCTTCTCTCCTCCCGAGCATCCTCAATGTGTGCTAGAAAAATCTCTTTCTGCAAGGGGGCCACCCACCCCAGAGAGCAGGACCTTGTGAAAGGGCGGCAGGAATGATAGCAGAGCTGATGTAACCTGGATTAACACACAGGTTACCTGAGCTCATCCTGGGCAGGGTGGTGATGTGAGAGCTGAGCTGCTCGTTCGTGGGAAGGCACCGCCAGCAGGAGCGAGAGCTGCTGCGGCCGGGGGAGCGTGCCCAGCCCGGGCAGGGCTCCGTGACCCGGCCCCCCTGTGCTCTGTGTTGCAGTGGCAGCCACCAAGCCCATCATCAGAGCGGCGGAGCCGGGGCTGACGCTGCCGGCCGGGGCCAGCACCAGCCTGAGCTGCGAGGCCGGCGGCTCCCCTCCCATCAGCTACCGCTGGTTCCGCCGCGGCCCGGCGGGCACGGCCGAACTCCTGCGCAGCGGGGCCGAGCTGGCCTGGCGCAGCCTGCGGGCCTCGGACAGCGGCACGTACTTCTGCGAGGCGCACAACAGGGCCGGGGCCGGCGCCGTGCAGCGCAGCGATGCCGTGCGACTGACGGTCACAGGTGAGTGCCGGCCGGGCAAACCCTCTGCCGAGGGGCCGAGCAACCGCAGCCTCTGCCCTGCCCTGCCCGGCAAGGAGGAAATGCCAAACGCCTTCAGCGCCCTGACACAGCCCTGCCCGCCGCCTCCAGCCCGTGTCCTGCTGCATTTCCTCTGTTCAATTTCCTCCTCTTTGAGGAACTGCTCTTTTCTGATGCAAAACGGGATTTCTACTTCAAACACTCATTTATTTATTCCTCTGTGGGTTTTTTTGAAGTTCTCCTTGGCTCTGTAATGTTACCCACTGCAGTTCAGCAAGTTTAGACAAGGAGTTGGGGCTTTATTTGGAGAAGCAGGAACAAGGGAGTGGTAATTCAGTGGCAGAACAAACCAAGCTGGCCTTTGCTCCCCACCACCAGCTGCGTGTCCCAGGGGGACACACTGAACTTCATTCCAGGCTCTGACACCTCCAGGCTCTGCAGGACAGGGTGTCACAGGTTGGACTCAATGGCCTCAGAGGCCTTTTTCAGTCCATTCAATTCCATGATGGGTGCCTGGTGGAAAACCTGCAGCTCTCCTTGGCTGGTGACTGGATCAGCCCAGCTGTGAAGCCCCTGATGGCAGAGCCAGGCTCAGGCACCTCCCAGTGGCTGAGAAAGAGGCAGAGCCCGCTGAGCTCCCAGGCACGGAGCTCTGGTGAAGCCCTGGGTGCTTTTCCCGGCAGTGCCACCCTGGAGGGAGCAGCACAGGAACGGGGCTCAGTGCTGCAGCTGCTGCCGCACGCCGCTGGCACAGCATCCCCCTCCTGCCAGCTGGGACGGGGCTGCTTCCTCCTGCTCCCACCCCTGGGGAATTCTGCACCACAGCAGCATCTCCATGGTGGTCAGACCCCTGCGTGAGCCTCTCCTCCTCCTCACCTTGCAGATGTGCCCACAACAACAGCAGCCTTGCAGAGGAATGTGGGAACCACGGGGGGACTCCACTCAACCACAGGTCAGGGTGAGAGCGGTGGCAGCTGATGGCAGGGGAGGGGTGTTGGGGCAGTGTGCCACCAGTGCTTGGAACTGGTTTTATTGCTGGGGAACAGAGTCTTGGCATTATTTAACTTCAGTCTATACACCTCAGGTTTTAACTCGGGTGTTTCTGAAAGTAGATCTTTCTTCCCTCAGTTTCCTATCCTTGCAGGGCTAATATGTTGTCTTTGTAGGAGGGACTGTATGTGTCTTAGGACTGCTGAAAATGCCTTTTCCTAAGCTGCAGATCATATGGGATGGGATATTCTGGGTTTGCTTCTTTTCTGAAGGGTATTTTTGCTTGTCATCTGATCCTGAATAGAAGCTGCTGAGGGGAGGGAGATCTGGTGTCTCCAGTGACAGACACAAGGGCTGCAAAAGCTTCCTGAGACCCAACTGAAAACATGTACCTGACCAGGGACAGCAGATTTGAGGGAGGGTTGTGGATTCCCTGTGTGAGCCTCTCCTCCCCCTCACCTTGCAGATGTGCCCACAACAACAGCAGCCTTGCAGAGGAATGTGGGAACCATGGGGCAACACCACTCAACCACCAGTCAGGAAGACAGTAGTGACATGGAGCACACAGTGACAGGTGAGTGTCCAGGCCAGGGTTATTCACCTCTGTGCCAGGAGAAGACCAAGGCAGGGAGTTTGCTCTTCCACAGCAAGATCAGATGCCTGTGCTGAGTATGAATTGTGTCTTGATTGTTACCCAGAGAGGCAACAACAGAAGCTGGCACCCCTACTTGAGAATGTGCCTGATGATGGGAGGGGACAAGAAAATGTTTTGTGTGTCCCTCTGGGACCAGAACTGTTGAGGCTGCAGAGCTTCAGAAGGAGGTCACTGGAGGCAAGATACCTGGCAGAGGCTTCCACACCTCAGGGAGTTTATGGTAAAGCCCTCCAGGCCAGCCAGGGAGTCACCATAGGAGACTGAAAGAGAGAGTGAAATCTGGAAATCTGGGGAAGTGCCAGCAGGGCAAAGCCAAAGCATTCCCAGGCATGATGCTTCATATCAGCCAGGGCTGCCAGGAACCTGTGGGGCAAAGCTCAGGAGGGAGGGGGACATGAGTGCCAAATGCTGCCCCAGCTGGCAAGACACACACAGGATAACAGGTGAGTCTAGGCTGGCAGAGCAGACCCCATTTTCCTGATGCCTAGTGGGGCTGCAATGCATCCACCATTCTCCGCTGACAGATCCAGTCCCAACCACACGGGTCTCCAGGATGGATTCTGCTCCAGTGGGGCCTGTCACAGACACAGGTGAGTGGAGTCTCATGCTGGAAAACACCAGATTTGCACTGGCAAGGGCAGGGTGGCAAATATCATCCCAGACCAGCTCCACATCTGGCTGCTGTGCTTGTGGCAGATACAACTGCAATGCCAAATCCCAGGCATTTATCCAGGCAGGAGCTGCACTCCTGACTCCTGCCCACACACCTGTTGTGGGGGTGTTTGCAGCCTGCAGTTTGCTGTTTGTTTTCACACAGGGATGCCCCATCCCTGGAAGTGTCCAAGGCCAGGTCAGACGGTGCTTGGAGTGTCTGGTTGGTGGGAGGTGTCCCTGCCCACGGCAGGGCGTGGAACGAGATTATCCTTTTAAGATCCTTTCCAAACTGAACCATCCCGGCATTCAGTGACTGCCAGCAAGTGCTGAACCCCCAGGTGGCCTCGGCCCCTTCTCAGTTAGGATTTAAATGCTGTCCAAAGCAGGGGGGGAGTGGCGGCTCCCAGCCACCGTGTCCCCTGGCTGCGGTGACAGTGCTGTCCCCCCATTAGGAAAGTTAATCCACAAACACCAGAGGTTTATGTCCAAAAAGGAGACAGAGGAGTCCTTTTACTTTATTCAAATAAAGGGAGAGGTCATGGGGCATTCCCCTGTGATCTCTCACATTTTTGGAGGACGCAGCCTTCTTTTTATCCCAATTTCCCAGCCACATTTCCCTTTTCTCTTTCCCCATTGGCTGAGGTACTTGAGAGGTACAAACTTCCCAATACGCCTGATACCAGAGATTCCCCTCTAACGTATAACCCTCCCTTTTAATTTTTAATTCTTATGGAATTTAGGGTTTTTTCTTCTCCATTGTTTCTTTCATCTTTCAACGTCTAATTTAATTTGTCAGCCGACCTAAAGTTTATTGGCAAAAACAAATACCTTTTTCCATTCATCAATCAGCGGAATCTTTCCCATTGTTTCTTTTATCTCCCAGTGCTAGTTTTATCTGCCAGCAGCCCCACAGCTTGTTTGTAAAGACAAATCCGCTGTTCCTCTCGCCCCGCAGGTTCCCAGCGGCTCGCCCCGTCCCCGCTGCTGTACGGGCTGCCGGCCGCGCTGGGCGGCGCCGCGCTGGGCGCGCTGCTGGCGGCCGCGCTGGGCTGCTGGCGGCGGCGGCGGAGGAAGGACGGTGAGCAGCGACAAACCCAGTCGGGACGGGCGGTGGGACAGCTCCGGGAGGAGGGGACGGGTGGGAGGGACAGTCCCATCCCCATCACTCCCATCCCCATCATTCCCATCCCCATCACTCCCATCCCCATCGCTCCCATCTCCATCACTCCCATCTCCATCATTCCCATCCCCATCACTCCCATCCCCATCGCTCCCATCTCCATCGCTCCCATCTCCATCATTCCCATCCCCATCATTCCCATCTCCATCGCTCCCATCTCCATCGCTCCCATCTCCATCACTCCCATCCCCATCGCTCCCATCCCCATCATTCCCATCTCCATCGCTCCCATCCCCATCGCTCCCATCCCCATCACTCCCATCCCCATCGCTCCCATCTCCATCGCTCCCATCCCCATCATTGCCATCCCGGGTTGATCCCTTCCAGAGAGAAACCTGTGGGAGGGTTATTCCCAAAAACGTTTTGTTCTATGACACATAAAACAAGTCGATGCATACCTTAGATTCTTTTTTTTTCTTTTCTTTTTTTTCTTTTTTTTTTTTTTTTTTTTTGTCAGAACCTCTCTATGAAGTTGCTTTGTGAGTACAATTTTCTCCTTGGGGGATTAAGATGGAGGGCACTGTACTGGTATCTGTTCCTATAAAGCCTGTTTGCTCAGGGAAAAGCAAAGATTTATTTGCCTTACAGGAGGAGGATCTGAAGACCTTGGCAGTTTAGTTAGCAACACGAGGACTTAGCATGTGGTCGCAGGAGATAGCCAGACTGTTCTTTAATATGGTAGAAAAACTGAAGAATACTCTGGGTGCTTTGCTGTGCCTGTCACATGCCATGGGAAACCTGTTCTCTGTGGGAAGTTCTTGCCATTACTTAGGAAAGCAAAAGACAGAAATTTGCAGCTCTTCCTTTAAGTTCCCTCTACACTTGCCTTTCTCTATAAGAAACATGTCTTAGTGCTTGGCCAAGTATTACTTTGCAGAGTTCCTGTTAGCATATGATTATACAAACACATCTTCTGTCCTATCCTCATCTCAATCTTCAACACCTTCATACTGCTTTCCTACTCAGAGACACACCACAACCATCTGTAGCAATTTTTCCCAAATAATCCTGGTATTTACTTTCCAAAGGCTGGACTGTCTACTGGTAGCTTTAGAGTATAACATGATAATGCCACGAGAGTTTATAGTACCACTATTAACCAGAGCTTCTGGTTGTGTAATTCTTTTAACAACACTTTTTAGTGTCTTTCAGAGCCCCCCAGGCCCTCACTAGAATAGTGAATTTTGCTGTTTCACAGATTATGTGGTAGATCTTGTCTCTAAGGTGTAAATGAAGTGCCATCTGCTTTAGTTGTCCCTCTCACTCTGTCTCTCTGTCCCAGCCACAGAACTGCAGATGTCGCCCTGCTGCAGCCTGAGGTGGAAGTCCCTGCTAAGTGCCAACAGGAGGAAACGTACTCTACCACCATGAAAGACAGGAAAAGCCCTGAGTATGAGAACCTTGTGACTGCAATGGAATCTCAGTATGAAACAGAAGGAATTTTGTAAAGTACCAGCTTTTCCACATAAGCAGCCATGCAGGGCTGCAGGTACTGAATAGTGAACTCAGCAGAAGGAAACTCTTCCTCCTGTTGTCCCTCTGTTCTGCTCTCACTGCTTGCTTTAACCCAGAGGAGCTGCATAACCTTTTGGTCTTTGGCAGACCCGGCCCTGCCTGCAGGAGCAGAAACCCCCAGCCAACTGTTTGTGTACCCACTTCTATAGAGCAAGTTGTTTCTCAGCAACCTGAAGGACCCAGGGCAGGAAGAAAGGATCTGAAGGAGTGAAAACATGAAATTCTTTGGCCTGTAAATCCAAGAGTAGTTTGTGCAATGCTGCCAGTCAGTAACACTAGCAAGGGATACTCTCCAATGTGTGTTCCTGTTAAGACATCCCAGGCTGCAGGGAACCAGGATTGTGCTGGAAATGGAGATCCTCTGGCTTTTGCAGTTCAGCAAATACTGGTTGTACATCCTGCCTGTGCTTGAGTCTTTTTGTTGTTGTTGTTGTTACAGCATGGTAAAGGGACCACAGAGGGGAGGTTGATGTCCCAGGAATGCCATTTTTGCTATCAGAATGGAGCTCAGTGCTCAGAGAGAGAGAATGAGTCTCTGAACTGTCACCCACTGGTTTTCTCCTGGAAAACAAGAACTGATGTTGAAGGAAATGTTGGCATTTAATTTTTCCAGTATGAGGGCCAGAGGCATGATAAAATAGAGAGAAATTTGAGGCATTTGGATAATGATTAAGGGGCCTCTCTGAATACAATAGGCTGACATCAATTTACTCTGGGGGATGTAAGTCAATCTGTGTGATTACTGTGCAACATGTAGATGCAGTTCCTGCCTTCAGCTGCAGTGCATTCCTTGCAGTACACTGTCACTCAGCAGCCTGATTTGCCTTGTCACTGTTAATTGTTTGCATCTTGCCTGGACTGCAGTGCTGCTATCAGTTCTGTCCTCTCTGTCTGTGCCTCCATCCAGCATCTCTTCGTCCTCCAGGGACTTGGCAGGGAGGAGGAATGCCTCCTGGCTTTAGCACACCAAATTTGTAAGAATTACTGGTTTTTTATATCAGTGGGTGCAGCAAAGAAAGCATGGGGAAGCAGCTGAGCGTGTCACACACACCCTCCTGCTGGGCCCTTCACCCACAAGGCCATGAATCATCTCTGTTTGGGTCAGCAGCCTAACAGCAGGGTCTCTTTGCTGTTTGTGGCCTGAGTGCTGTGTAGAGCCACACTTTTACCTTTACAGCTCTGAATTGCAGGATGTGAGCTGGGAAAGATCAGGGAGAAGAAATCTCCTGCCTGTATTGTGAGGGCTTCACAAGCATGGTGACAGCCATGCAGGGAGGGCTGTGCTGGCTGCCAGGCTGCACTCCAGAGAGGCAGACAGGATCCAGTCTGTCCCTGTGGGACCCATGGCAGCCAGCCCTGAGGACCTCATGCTGCAGAAGCTACTGGCATCAGCAGTTCCAGGGGTGGTGCAGAACAAAGGATTTGAGGGGAATGGAGAGCTGCAGCCATGCTCATGCAGGGCTGTAGCATATGGTGCAAGGTCAGTACTGGGTGAAAAGGGAACTGAAAATTTCTCAGCTTCCCCATCCTTACCTCAGCAAATCTAGGCCCAAAACACATGACATGGCACTCTCCTTTCCCTTCTCCCCAAATATAATCCTCATTAATTTTCAATTATCTTGGTAGTTTGTGCAAGTTTTCCTGCTGTTAAAAGCTCTGAGCTCCAGGTTCACTCATTGAGTATGTAACACCAGGGTTTTTCCATCTTGTGATTCCTCCCAGCACTGATCTGCTCTGACAAGGTCTGGACACCTTCCTCAGAAGACATGAAGCCTGGGAGAAGCTACAGAGGAAGAAGGCAACAGGAGCTAAGAGAGGGGGAGCAGATGGACCCAGATGGACCAGCCCCCATGTACTCCATGTTGTAATTCCTGTAGTTAGGGCAGCAACAGGACTTTGGTCACAAGTAGCAGAAGAGTGGAAACATTAGAAGCCCGTCTCCAGTGCTGAGGTGTTTTTCCCTGGGTAACAAGTGTGTGATTATTTCTTTATTTTACTTTAGCATGTTTTCCATGTTTCTAGTAAAATCTGTTGGCAACAGAACATTTTTCTTCTGAAAGCCACAGGGAGTTCTGCAGAAAACTTCTCCTTTCCTTGCACTGTGCTCAGGTGCTGAGCTCTGCTGCAGAAGGGAAGGAAAAGCTCAGCTTCTGCCCTGAAAGGACACTGCCCCCCAAAAACACACTAACTCAAGCGGCCATCACAGTGTCATGAGACTCACAGTTCCCCTTGCAGTGCCTGTCCCATGGAGGGGACCTGCTGGCTTTTACAGCTGCTGGGTTTGTACCATACTTCAGAGCAGGGAGGTGGGAGATGAAGTCCCAGAGAAATTTGTACCACTGTGATTTGATGCTTGTTCTTGCAAACGAGTGGAAGGGGTTTACTTTCTTCCCCTTCACCCCAGTCATCTGGAAGGATCTGGGAGCTGAAGGGAAGAGTTATCTAAAAAGCAGAGGGTAAATTACTGGAAGCAAATATTGAAAATGCATGAGGAAACAAGAATGAAGAGCATCCACAAACCCTTGGCCAGCTGTGGTGCAAAGGAGGTTGGATCTGTTGAAACCTCGAGATTTGAGTGACATCAGGGCTTGGGACTGACATGGCTGTGTGCTTCATGGAGGAGCCACTGGGGACAAAGCAAAGCCTGACATCTCAGACCTTGCTCTCTTTTGAGGCTAACCTCAGTGATAAAGATCAGAGTGATGTCTGTGAGTCATGAGGAGGTGCTTGAGAGAGACCATGGGAGTGTGAGTCACAAGGAGTAGGGCCTTTTCTGACCACTTGTGGACCATGTTTGTCCAGAAGTTCACAAGCTATTCAAAAAGCAGAACACAATTTGCTTAGGCAATTATATATTCATAGGTTCCAGCTTAGTACAAACTCCAGCTTCTTCAAAATATTTACTAAGGAATAGTTGCCATAAAAAGGCCCAAAAGCTTAGTATTCAAGTTTATTAATACTCTCAAATATTGCAAAATTTTCTGGTGGTACTGTCCTAAAACTAGTCAGTAGAGTCTTGGGATTTATTTTATTCTTGAGTTTTCCATGTCAAATGCTTTCAGAGAGTTTGATTTGTAAAACTGGGCTGGATGCTGCCCCTGTCATTCCCCCACCGTGACATATCTGAAATGCTACAAGTCAGTTACTGAAAACACTTAGCAATCATTACATCTTCAAGTGGGATGATTTAGAGGGAATTACTTTAATTAAATAGCAGAATAGGCAACCTTGCTGCAAGTGCTGACTAGGAATAACCATGCAAAAACAAGAAGTCTTCTCCAAACAGCGAGGCTCCTAGGAGAGGCAATGGTCTCCATGGCCTAATTTAAAACAGCTTGAACCAACATGCATTTTTCACAGGCTAATGGGCCACAGGGAAGTTAATGAGCAGCCTCATTAGTTTGTACTCCATATAAAATGATTACTACATGTGCAAAGGCAAGATTCTTTATTATGGATAATGCTGCCTTTAGCCATGATGTTGTGATTATAGTTGCCAGGATCCTTGTTAACTGAGCCTAATTTACAGCTGGCTAGTTAATGCTGTGTAAGAGAACAGCATCGTATTTGGATGCAAATAACAAGGACCCAGGGCACAATTCCTTGTCTTCACAGCACAGAGAAGTTGCACCAGCACCCCTTCTGCTCTGATTTACAGTTGGGAGGGACACCCCAACAGATACTTCCAAAACCAGGGTGGAAGGGAAACCTGGCAGCACAAGACCCTTCAGGTGTTCTGGAACAATGGGATGGGCTGCTCAGTACGTCGGTGGCTTTCTGGAGAAATGCCGAGCCTGGAGAGGAAGGCTCCTGCCAGCGCAGGAGGAAAGAGCTGCACCCCCGGCGTCGCGTTGCTCAGCAGTGCCTCACTTGGGGTATTTGACAAACTGACACTCTGCACACTGAGTGTCGGACTCAGCTTGTCAAATACACGCAGTGCCACACTGCAGCTCCCGATGGCCTCGCCGGATGCCAGCCTGGGCACACAGAGGGAAGAGAAGCACAGCAGCTGTTGTTAACTTCACAGGCTTTTTCCAGTTAGCAAAAAGAATCACGTATCCTCCCATATTTCCCCCTTCTGCTCTCTTTTTTGGGTGAGAGAGAACCACACCAGCAGACACGGCCTTCTTCTGAGGAAAATACCCACTCTATTAATTCAGAAGTCAGAAAAAGAAGTACAATTCTGCCCCTGGGCATACACATAGGGGTTCATCACTGACTCTGTTGGAGGCTCCTCCATTTGGCAGAATACTATAAGGATTATGATGCTGAAAGAAAACCAAGCTCCACAAAGGGAAACAATGAACTTCTTCAGAAGTGAAGTGAAACTTTCTCTTCCGTTGACAAACGAACCCCCTTCTGCTTCATTTCTAGCAAACACAGAAAGTCCTTGCTGCAATAAGTGGAGCTTTCCACCTCCAAACACTGGTATAATCCAGTTTTTAAGGGTGAATATCATATTCACACACACACACAGGCACACTTCTTGCACAAATATACTGTTATTCCCTTGTTCTTTTAACAGGAGTGTGCAGGAAATGCAGAAATGCACCTAAAGAAAACTAAATAACAAACATACACAAGAGAATATGTTGCACAGTATCACTCTGTTCTGTGTCCTTCTCAGATGTTGACTGTTTAGAAAATCAGTCTAAAAAAAGATTTGAAATTTTGATAGAGTACAACTCTCCCAGAAAAACCCATACTGGCTCCTAAGTCACACACCCATTCAGCACAACACTGTTTGTGTCATTCATACTTTTTGTGGACATGTCCAGATATAGCTGAGTTTTTAGCATGGTGTTTTAGCTTCCTTACCAGTCCATGGATTTTAATTTCCC